TGTCCTGTGTGTGTAGAGCCTCGACTAAAATTGGGGCCCCAGAGCATATAAGAGGCTTTGTGGAGTGGATCCCAGCTCTGCAGACGGGATTTGCTGGAACTGAGCTAAGCACTTTACATGTCTCGAGGTTCCCTCAGTCTTCTCAATAACCAGGATGTCATTTCTGAGAAAAGGTCTTCCATACGGAAGTGTAAAGGAGGCAGCTCCTGAAACCTGGACACATTTCTGACCTATGTAAGAGCCACAAGTAGGCGCTGCTTCCCGGGAGCCTTCCGTTCCTGCACTACCTTGAGGAACTCATTTTGAGTATCCCATTGACCCATTCTAACTGTCCTGATGATGGACATTGCTAGCCACAGTGAAGCCGACACTCAGTGCCCAAGGCTTTTGCGACTCCCTGAGTAACTTCAGGGTAGAAGGCAGGCCCATGGTCACTTTGGACATGCTATGGCTCTCCAAAACTTGAATAATCTCATGGACAAGGACCCTGACTGCTTCTCGAACCTTTTCAGTCTGGCTAGGAAAGGCTGCTATCCAACCTGTGTGGGAATCAAGCAGAATGAAGAGGAACTGGCTGTGTGTGAAATCAATCTGCCAGTGTTCTCCAGCACAATGGCTTCAGTACCATCCTCCGGTGGGTGGTTTTATTCAGACATTCTGAGGATTCTTCCTCGGACACAATTCACATCTTTTAACCACCTGTTGTATCATGTCATCTAGTCCTTCCCGAGGAAGGATTAGGTAACTAAAGCAAGAATTTTTTGTCCTAAGTGACAAGTATCATGAATACTCTTAATTACTTTCCATCCCAAACCTCTTTGTAGACAGAGGCAATCCTCAGGAGCAGCCCACATTATTCAGAATTCAGGCCCTTCCCTGGCTCTGGGCATGCAGAATTTCCTTGTCAGAATAAACAGGCAATAAACTAGAAGACCACAAGAGGGAGCTCTCTAGCTGCCTAGACACTGCCGCCTTTGCCACCTCAGGGCCTTTTCCTTGCCCACAGCAGAGGACTGCTCCTCCCATGTGTCCCAGACAGTGAGTGACTGGCCCTTCTCAAGGCAGAAAACGACCTCAGTGAGTTGTGGAATCTCTGGGGCACGTTTAATGGGACAGCAATTAGAGCTTAGTAGGCGTTGGTCTCCCAGATTGCAGTTTGTACTGGAACCACACGAAAAACACACTTAGACTCAGTATAAATGTGTACTAACTTATCTGCTGTCAAAGTCAGTGTTTGGGGGACAGAATCAGCCCTCCCTGAGAGCAGGGAGAAAGGGAACACCATTGTAGAGAGGCTCTAACCACACCCAGCTGCTCCCAGGGATCAGGCAAGAAGGTGGCAGGGTCAAGGCTTTATCAGGTTTCAGTATTCACAGCTGGTCTTTCTAACAAGAAAACCTGAGATTTTAAAACCTATGCATCAGAGACCCACATGTGGACTGGAGCATTAAGAAGTTTCTCAGTGTCATACAGGGGCTTGATTACAAGGATCTTCCCCAGGGTGACCTTATAAGTTCCAGGAACTAATATGCCTGCTGCTGCTAAATCCCACCGCCAACATGGCCATCCTCTGACCACAGCGTCTGGTTCTTTGCTTAAATAGGCTGCCAGCTGGTGGCTTGGCCCCAGGAATTAGGTAAGAAACCCTAACACCCATTCCTGTCTTCCAGTCAAAAAGACCAAATATTTGTCTTGAGTTGGGATTCTCAGTACAGAGGCTCAGTACAGAGTCCTGGAAAGCCTGTTGAGCTCTGGATTGCAGACAAAGAGATGAGTCCCTGTGTGCTATGGTAAAGGGTTCTGTTCCTCTCCATTTAACCTGGAATCCAAATTCTGCAAAACCCAGTCACCCAAGGAAGGCTCCGGGCTGTTTGCTGTGTGTGGACAAAAGGAAGTCCAGGATGCACTGGACTGTCTCTGTATTTAGTGTCATTTTTTCCTGAAGAATGAGCCACCTTAAATAGGTGGCCTGGGCCTTCTCAAAGGACACTTTGTAACTCAGGAGGTAGAGAGCTAAGGAGTTTCCTCCTGTACTTGGGTTTCTGTGTCCTTCGAAATCATCAGACCATTTACACAACATAAGAGGGTGATATCCTCTTTTAGCCATTCTAACTGGTTTTGAGATAGGGGTAGGCCAAAAAGAAGGGGTCTGGGCTGGGGATTTAGCTCGGTAGCATAAGCGCCTGCCTGGCAAGAGTGAGGTCATGAGTTCAATCCCTGGTACCAAAAAAAAGATAGGGTCCACGTGGAAACACCTGGGGAGGAATGTTTTAGCCTGTGGTCCCACTCCCATTAGTGGATTTTCAAAGGTAAAGAGATTCTACATCTTGGGTGCCAAGGAAATACAAAACCAAGCATCCTCAAGATCCAAAACGGAAAAGCAACTGGCTGAGATTGGAATCTGTGTCAAAAAAGTGTAGAGACTAAGCATGACCAGCCTCAGGCACCACATCCTCATTAGTAAGGTGAGGTCTTGAATGAATCGCCATTCATTAGGCCCATTTGAATTCTGATGATAGGAGCATTATAGGGCCGAGAACATCTCATAACAGTTTCTGTGTAAACAGTCATTGGACCGTAGGCTTCTCTCACTTCAGGGTGAAGTGGGTATTGGCTCTGGTGAGGAAACCTAGTGGGGTCTTCGAGATAAACATGAACTGGTGTTTTGCCCCTTCTCACCCTGGGTCCACCTGTCCACCCAGCTGTCTCCACCTGTAATTCTTAGAGGGGGAGAATTCCCATGGGGCTACATTCTGAAAGAAGCAGGATGCAGACCTGAGCTTTGGACAGTAAGCCTCTTGCCAGCAATGTCTGTTCTTTGGCTTGGTACCAGGAATCAAGCTCAGGGCCCTGGGCATCACACAGGTGCGGAGATGCTGAACTGCATTCCTGGCCTTTTTTCCTCACCATAAAGCCAGGGACTAGACATTATCAGGAAAGAGTGGACCAAGTGCACTTCTCCCCAGGAGTATGCCAAGGCTCAAAAAAGAATCTTGCCACATGTTCAAACACTTGGGAGAACAGCTGTGCACAGAGATCATGGTCTAGGGGAAAAGGCAAGAACAGAAACATGGGCACCAGTACCCACCAGAAAGCTTATTATGATCTTGCTCCCCACTATTAAAACGGGCAGGGACGCTGCTGCTCGAACAGCAGTGAGGGCAGCCTGAAGAAGAAGTCTAGGTAACTTCACTGGGAATTTCTCAGAGGGCACTAATTTCCGCTGATCTCCCTGGAAACTGGGACAGGGGCTGGGAGGCTTATACGAGTTCTTCTCCTGTTGGGCTCCCTCCAGTTGGAGGCAATCCTTTTGTAAGTGTCCTGGATTTTTACAACAATAGCAAGCCTGGATTTATTAACTGGGTGGCACTGGAGAACAGCAACTAGGTCCCAATGTGTCTTTTTTCCTATCTGTTGAATTTCCATGTGCCTCTTGTAAAAGACCTTCATAGCCTCTCAGAGACCATCATCCAGCCCTAAATTGTCTTCATAGGATTCATTATCAGCCTATGGAGTCTGCAGCAGATAACAGAGTAAGAGGACAACTTCTTCATTGCTATCGAAACCTACGAAGGTATGTTAGGTCACAGCATCCATATATCTTTGTAAAAACACTGAAATCTCAGAATCCTCTTCTCCCCTCAGTTCCCATATCTCACTGGAAATACTCTTTTTCCTTCTGAGAAACTTGACTTAGCACAGATTAATTTATCAGCTTGACTTTTGCTGCCTTTAGCCCTTCCCTGAAGCAATAAAGTGTGAATGGGCCCTTTCTCCTTTCTCCTTGGGGTGTGTGATAAGTTCAGCGGGACTTGGGAGAGGGACAGGCGTCCTCCCCTTAGGGACATCATCGTGCCCTCTTTCTCGTCTTCCTGCTTCTCTTCACCTGCCTCCTTTTCAGCATACATGTGGGACTCATGATAGGCATTTCTGTCCTCAAGGATCTCAGAATCCTCTTCTCTTCCCAGGTCCCGTGTCTCACTGAGGATGAGCATTACATCATTGCAAGTCAGTCTGAAGAGAGACAGGACTCTGGACATAACCGTCAGGACTGCCTGTGAAACTTCCCAAATCTCCTTGAACAGAAGCGGGCTCAGCATGAGTGGGTGAGATGGGAGCTGCTTTTCCTCTGTGACTGCAACAGAGGAGGCTCCAGTTAGCAGTCCAGTTAGCAGCTGGGACGTAGTATAGTCCGGGCATTCCCTGATTCCAGGATGTGGAGGTTCAGGCCCCTTATCCGTGAGACTCTCTGGTTTTCTTTCTCTCTGTTGGAGCCCTAGGTTGGGTCACTCCCCACTGGGACAAAGGGAGGGGACTGGTCCCAAAGCAGCTGACTGAGGAGGGTCAATGGATCAATGAGACAGCCACTCACAGAATGTCTGAGACTAACTAGATAATTGGATCTAAACCACTGCACCCCACTTTCCTTCTATTTTGTGCAGTGTGTCCAATTGGTGTGTGGTGTTTATAGCCCACACTTGGCCTCCTTTCTTGACCAAGCTCTAGTACAAGAAAAGATCAGCCCTCCTTTCTCAAACTCTAGCTGTCTGCAGTGCTTAAGAAGACACTCCGGGGGGAATATGGTGGCAGGGCAGATGGCCCGGTCCCCATCTGGAAGAAGAGATGGACATGTAGTGTAAAGCATCTCTTGGTTTCAAGGCTAAGATGAGAAAGAAAGCCTGCCGAGGCCCCGACCTGCACTGCTGTAGGTTTCAAACTAGACTTCTTCCCTTCCTGTCTCATAAAGCACAGATAGGAATTCTCCCATCTCTCCAGGAAGCCCGAGTGTGGGATTGACTTCCCTCTTGGCCTCTACTATCTCTGGGATCCATGTTATATATGTGAGTGATTTGGGACCAGCATTTCTAATGGGTCTTTCCTTTCTGGGAATTGGACCCATTTCTGGGAAAGGCCTATATAACCATTCTTATATCCCCAGGAATAATCCCTGTACCACATTTGAAATGTATAAAGCTCCAAGAAGTTTCTTTCCTTTAAGGAGACTAAGATAGCTTGGTGGGAGACAGATTTTACTTGGCTGATTTGGAGCTGCAGGCCAACATCATAAGAGAAGACTGCAAGTGTGTAATTACAAATGAGGAGCCTGTCATCACTCTTGCAAAAGAGCAAAGGGGATCCTGGTGTGGCTTACTCCGGCAGAAGGTGCGTTGTGAACTGTGGTTGGAGGTCTTCACCCGTGGCTGTCAAATCTGCTCACTTGTGTAAAATGTTGTATTGAACAGAATCCTAATGTGGCTTTTGACTTTGACCACTGGGAAGAATGTGATGAGGACAGAGAGGAGGGCCTGTTCCCTGAAGGTGAGATGGGAAGGGCCTGCTGCCTGGGGAGGAGCCTGAGGCCAGGGTGGGAGGGAGCAGGGAGGGAATACCAGCTGATCTGAGGGAATCAGACTCTGCAAAGGGGCTGCTTGGCTAAAAGCCCTTAGAAATTTCCTTCTCTTTGTGGTTGATCTTGGTGCTAAATGCTCCCGTAAGAGTACTTACCAACCCACCCCTTCCTATACCAGTTTTACAGGTATTCTTAGTTCTACATTGGCCAAAATCACGGGGGGGTGGGGGTGGGGTGGGGAGGTGGTTAACTAATGAATCTGTACTTTCACATTTTATGGAACATCTACCTCTTGTAGTTGTAAGTGCTCGAAACCTGTCCTGCAAAGTGGCCGAGGTGACTGAAGACAGTGACAGCAGTGCAGATGACTCCGAGGACAGTGACAGTGAATGAAAATGTGCGTTAAGCCTTGAAGAGCAGCCAGAGGCCTCTGAACATAGTGGACATCGCTGAGTGACTGGGAGAGAAGAAAACAAGCATTCATAGCCAAGGCTTTTTTTCACCTGAAGGATAAGACTCTACTAAGTGTTGGCTGGTGGCACTAGGATGGCTCATGGTGAAAAACTTTCAGTCCACCTAAAAACAAGTTATAAAAGAAGATGCTGGTTGTCAAATGTGGAAGAAGCAAAGAGTGCAGGACTGGTCCAAGCCCAGGCTGGACCGTGTATCCCCCTCGCTGCCTCTCATACACATCGTGACAAGCTCAGCTTTGCTTTAAGTGGCAGAGAGCAAACCGTGACATTCTGGTCTGGAGTCGGCCCACAAGTTTTTTGTCATTTAGACCTACCTTTATGTTTGGTACAATGTTCAAAACCTGTCTTGTGCTTGTAAATGAGGCAGCTGTCTCACAGACGTGGCCATTGACTGAGTAAAAGTACTGACACTTTTCCTGTTCTCCAGGCACTGCTAGCACTGAGAGAAGTGAGTGCACATCTTTTCCCAAGGACATTGTGGGATGGCTTTAGTGAGGCCAGTGAGACCCAGGCTTATTCTACAGGTCAAGCTGTGAGTTGCAGACAGCACTGGGGACTTGCAAAGGGACCTTTTAGAGCCTTCAGTGATACAAACAGCCCTCTACAGCATATGAGCTGCAGTTTCCATGCTGGACTAAGAGGTCTTTTTTGGCAACATACTGGGAACCTGTGCAGTGCCTGCAGATAACCTTCAGAACAGAGGGGGTGATGAGCACCCGTGGTAAGGTTGTAGCACCTGGGATCCTGAGAGTTCTTGGCTGGCACTTAAGGCAGGAATAGCCTGGGGCTGGCCTTTCATCTTTAGATTTCTTCTCAGATTTAAAAAAGTACAAAGCTAGGCACTTGGGGCTGAGGCAGGGAAATCACCAGGTCAAGGCTGACCTGGGCAACTTAACAAGACTTTGCCTCAAAAAGGGATGGGGACATAGTTCAGGGGTACAGTATACCGGAGCTCAACCCCCAGCACCCCACCCCACCCCAAAACAAACCCCTGTGCACTTCCTCAACATCTGTTGGCTTCCTCTAGAAGTGAAACGGAACACTGACAGAACATGACAGGTACGCAACCACTGCAAGACATCTCTTTTTGTCACATCTCAAAAAGTGTGGGTGCTCAGGCTCCTGTACCTCCCAGGTGACAGCCTCTGCTTGAACTGTGGTAAACACATAACCCTGTCCCATGAGCAAGGCTGGGTTCTGCTCTCACTCTGTTTCTTCATTTGTGAAATAAGATGCTGAGCTCATGCACAGCCTCTCTTCTCCATAGGCAGTGCCCAGAGTGGTGCTGGGCAGGGACCTCATCTGGGTGTGTGTGGAGACTCAACAGATGTCAGACCCCTGCGCTCCAGTGAATGGTGTGGCCCAGTCTGGTCAGCTGCAGGAGTGAGTCCTTGCTCCCGAGTGACTTTGATAGGTTGGCATTATCATTGTGGCTTGTGAAGTTGGGTGATTTCAGAGGAAGAAGAGAGTTCTGGTGTTTGCTGGAAAGATTCCTTCTCAGTGGTCACCCTGAAGGTGGGGGCTGGCCATTAGCACGGCTTCCTGTCCTAAGAGCGTTGGCTTCCCATGGGCACCAGCTTGCTGTGCCGGGGCCCAAAGGAATGGCAGTGGCAGGTCCCAGAGTGCTTGCACCTGCTCCCGGTGCTGATGGCAGTGTCACTTACCTCACAGAGGGCACAGTGCTGACTCTGTGGGCCACTGAAGACACTGTAGGCACTGGGGCAGGAGGGCTAGGGATTTAAATTTTGACTTTGTTTTCAGACACTCAAATGTTCTAATATTTAAAGCTCTGAATAGTATATTGTAGGACGTAGAATGTTGGCTATGTAAACAGGGCTTGGTTTTCCATACTGCTGTTAAAGCACATGGGTTGCATGGTGGGAAAATATGTGAAATGCAAGGCAAATACATTAGTGGCTACGCTTCTAAAATTGTTCACATACTCCGTTGTGATGTGAATGACTTCTGAAGCATTTCCTTAATAAAATTTTCATGTTCTCCTAGAAATGTTACGGTTCCCAATAGCTTTCATTGGCATTTTAGTCACCAAAAAGCACAGTGAATTAAATTGTATGCTCTGTATGGCACTCATGGAAAATATAATTTCTACAATGAAAGTGGTTGGGAACTGGTGGTGTGACCCACAAGGAAGCTGGCGCTTGTCACACAGGCTTCCATTGGATCTGGAAGGGTGTTCAGACTTCCTGAGGAGGGCCTTGTTGCTCAGCCTGGTAAAAACCTGCCATGTACATCCCATGTTAAGCAGACAGGTGGCAGTACTTGGAGGTGTGAAAGAGTCAGCACAAAACGAACTTTAAAACATTTTCTTAAAATACTGTCCACTAATCTGTATCTCTTTTGCTTTGTATCTAGATGTCCCTGTATAGGTTTGGCTTTTCAGGGGTGGCTGGATCTAGGGAGTGTGTGGTGCTGGAATTAGGGATGCGATGCTGGGATGAAGCGTGGTCCTCTCTAAGGGTGGGTGGCCTGGATGGAATATGAGGGACAGAAGCGGGCTGCTGCTGCTTCTGTCTCTGCTACTTGCCTTCTGCTGCCTCCCTCCTGCTCTGTGATGCTCCTCTACCATGACACCCTGCCGCAGAGGCAGCCAATCATGGATTGAAACTTCTTCAACTTCTGAGTCAAAATAAACCTTTCATCTTTTAACTCTATTTTGTCTTAGCAATAACTAAAAATAACTACAACAGGTTTTGGTCCTGAAAGTGGGGATATGCTGTGATCGTACCTGCCCATGTGATTCAGGAACCTTTGGAACAGGCTTGCAGGAAGAGTTTACAAAGATTTTGAGATGCTGGCTGTAGAATCATCCCTGGAACGCTTTAAACTACACTTGATTGAAGATGCAAGTCAGAGTTCAGAAGACAAGAATGCTGGTATAAATGTTTGTATAAAGTCCAGGCTTAGGAGGTTTCAGTTAGGAAAAAAGAACTCCTTTGGCATTTGGACTCCAAATTATGAGTGTTGTGCTTTGGTAGAAAATCTGTCTCCATTTGCTCTTCCCCAGAGTCTTTACCTAACCTAAGACTAAGGTTAAGGTCAGTGGACTAATAAATCAGGCAGAAATTTCAAGGCCAGTCTAATGTTGAGGTGGTGGCATGGCTCCTGTTGGGGGATTTTTGCCAGATCATTGTTGAGAATCAAGAGCAGAGAGCCATCAAAATGATTTAAAGTGTTTTGAGTTTGGCCAGAAAGGAAGCTCAGTAAAGATACAGATTGCAAAGATAGAGCACAGGAGAACTTGGTTGCACAGTACAATGAACAAGATGGTCTGAGAACATCACAAGAACCCAACAGGACTTCAGCCTTTGCAGCATCAAATTCACAAAGGTGAAAGACTTTTCTGTGAGAAGAGAACCCCAAAGTACCATATTCCAGAATGTTAGCGGCCTAGAGAATTTGTTTCTTTGGATATGATTTATAGTGCTCAGCAATCCAGGCACTTGACCCCCATGGCCAAGAGGGCAGAAAGCCTGGCTACTCCTCCAGGTGGCAGCAGACTTTGGCATCAACCACAGGGTGCTTGTTTTAGGTGCCTGCAGAATGAAACAGTTGTGGGAAGAGCAAGGCTTCCACCTAGATTTCAGAAGAAGACCGGGGAGGCCAGGCAGTGCGTAAAGGTGTAATTGTGAAGCAGAAGCACAGTAGAGGCCCCATAATGTTGGAGAAGCCAGGAATATGAATAACCTGAGGAAAAGTGCAAGAACTGAGCAGAGCTGGCCCACTGATAATACTATAGGACCAGAGCCACCCAAGTGCTTTGGAATTCACATCTTGCCACAGATTACCCCAGATGCTGGATGTGGGACTATGAAAATTAATGTTTGCCCTACTGGATTTTGTACCTCCTTTGGTCCCATTCCTTTCTATCCCCTTATTTGGAATGGGAATGTTTATTTGTGCCTGTGAATGTTGGAAATATTTAACTTTCTTTTCATTTCTATGGACATTTCAGCTAAGAATATGGCTTCAATCTTGGAGGACACTTTGGACTTGAACTTCTCAGCCATCCTGAAACTGTTAAGACTTTGGCAACTCTCAGACCTGGTCTAAAATGCCTTATGCATAAAGGGACATGGACCTTTCAGGGGCCAATGGTGGAATATTAAGGCTTGTGTATAGATGTTCTGCAATGCATCATACAGTCATAGGTCTGGCTTCAGAGGGGGCTAGATGTAGAGATTCAGGAGAGCCTGCCCTGGTTGTGACTCCACTCATCCTAAGGGCAGATATTCAGGATAGAAGATGAGGGACAGAAAGAGGGCTACTGCTGTTGCCTGTTGCTCTTCTGCCTCCTGCATGCCCCGTGATGCCTTCTGCCATGCCCCAAGCCTCAGAGCCAGCCAATTATGGATTGAAACTTCTATGAACTGTGAACCAAAGACACCTTTCCTCCTTTAAACCTGGAAGTCAGGTATTTTGTCTCAGTAATGGGAAAATGAACTAAGACAATATCAATCAAACAAAAAAATCACCTACTTTATATAAAAGAAAGACCTATAGATCACTGAGTTTAAGAAATACCTTTTATTTTAATTTACATAATTAATTATTTAATTTGCACTGCTGGGGATGGAATTCGGCACAATGCCACAAGCTCTGTACCTCTGAATTATGCCCCAGACATACTCTGTGTTTAAGTAAGTGATGTGCCCTTATTAAATAGTTGCCATCAGAATGCCAGTGGGTTTTGGGCAACCCTGATACTAGCCTTTTGTTAGGTGACTTTCCTATTGATGAGCTTAGCAAACACTTATTACTTATTTTCTCTAAAGCCCCATGCATAAAATTATAGCCATTGAAGAATAACAATTACATAAACATCTGAAAAGTTTTTCACAAAAAAGATGGAGAAATAATCACAAATAGTGCTTATAAAAACAAATTCATCACAGCTTTGATGAGCTAAAGAGACACACTTGTTACTCTGGGACCTTCTCTGGTGGGACAACTTCCATCAGCATCTGTAGGTACATGGTAACTGGCTCTGGAACACAAGTCAGGAAGTCCAGTGAGTACAGTTAGAAAAATGTAGGTAAAAGGCCTCACAGCTGGGCACGATGGAAGGTTGGATGGATGGATGGTTATTTCTGTCTGCCCTTCACTAACCTCAAGCAGCCTCCTGCTGTTACTTACTTGAGATTTTCTGAGCCCATCCAAACTTGCAGTAGACGAAAAGGAAGTAGAATATAAGGCCGCTCAGGATGAACAGCACACAGTAGAGGTACTCCCAGGCGGGATTACTGATGATCGGGGCCAGAACCAAAAACACGGATACAAGAGTCACCAAGATGGGGATGAAAATGGGCACCTGCAAGAGACAGCCAACAGGGGTCATGCTTTAGCCCTTGGTGGTGGTTTTATTTCCTGTAGTTTTTTTCATTAAAGAACAAATCCATAAAAGAGTGTAATGAACTCCAGGTACTACTCTTTCAATTTCAAGAATTTTTGTATTATCTTTCTCCCTGTTTGTTTGATTTTGCCACCAGATCTCACTGTGTAGTTCAGGTTGACCTTGAAATCACTACATGGGCAGATGACCATCAATTTGTGGCCATCCCCCCTGCCTCAGCCTCCCAAATGCTGGGATTATAGGCTATGCCAACACACCCAGATTAAGAATTTTAATGTAATTTTGACAATCACTTGTAATTTTAATGTAACTTTGACAATCATCTACTCTACCTTTTTGTTTTTCCAAGAATATAAAACTACACTAGACATCAGGGTATTTTAACCATTAGCAAATATTTCTCTTAAGTAGTGAAAACTTCTTTCTTTAAACCAGTTTATTCCTTACCCTCTTTTTTTTTTTTTTAAATATTATCACTTGTTGTAGCTTCTATGTGTCCCCCTAAGTCCCTGTGGAATCATAGGCAGGGCCTTTGAAAGGCACCATGATTTGCCTGCTGTTAGGAGTGCAGGCCTGCCTGGAGAGAGGGGTCTTTGTGGGTGAGACTGGGCAGTATCTAACTCCCTCTTTCCTCCTCCCTGGACCATCTCTCTGCTTCCTTTCCTCCACTGTGCCCCTCTGCCATGCCACCCTGCCTTGGAGCCAGCTAACCACTAACTAAAATGTCAGCTGAAGTATAAGTTACAGGGATCAGGTATTGTGTCTCATTGGTGAAGAAACTGATGAACATGTTTCTTATTTGTTGAAGAAATGGGATGGTTTGTCCTATACAGTGTCTAATTCTACCTCAGTGTGATCACTTCCTCAGGGCGTCATTTAACTGACTTGGGACTTTCCTGTATATCAGTACAGAGAGATAGACAGAAACAGAGACAGAGACAGAGACAGAGAGAAGCACGATGCTTGGTAATTGCAGCTGTGCACACTGTTTTTCTAGACAGGGTCTATTCCCCAGGCTGGCCTCCAATTCACCATCATCCTTCCTCTGG